GCACTTGTTCCACGCTGGCGTAAAACCGTACAAGTTCATGGGGACTATGTAGAAAAATAGTATGTGTAAAGGAAACATTGATTTATATTGTCACTAAATTTCAGCCATCTTGAATAAATATATTCTGAGGAAAAAAATGTGGGGCATTACTTAATGAGCGACCCTCGTATATTAAATGGTTAGCCGATTAAAAATATTAACAGTTTGACATATTTTACACGCTACACTTATAGGCCAATGTCGTCTACTTAGGAATACACCGTTGTATTTCAGAAATAAATGTTGCAAGGAATGTATCTGATACTGTGGAACCTATATGAAATAAATATTAAAACAACAAAATTTTTTGGAAACAACCAAAAGCATTTCGTAACTTCCAATGTAGTTCCCTGCGTATCTGATCATGCTTCATCCTTTGTTTCCATAGCACCTGATCTCTTGAAGATGGTATAGGTTGGTTGGTATGGAGTGTAATTATTTAGGGTCGGCTGCTTACGTTCCCGCCATTTTTCTTGCCTTGCCTGCGGCCTTTGAAACTATGAAGGGGAAAGATGCAGGTACAAAGCGGGGAATTTCTTAAGCAGAGGGGTCTTCCAACTAAAGATGACCAGAACAGTGTTGTCATATGTCCGCAATAGCACACACAACAATTTCTCAGTTGCTTTGTCCTGCTCGTGTGTCTTGAAATTACATTGCTGTAAAAATTCTAGGAGCGATGGAACCAAAGGCGCAAATCAGTTATGTCATTACATATCCGATATTGGAATTCCTGGGCACAATATAGGTATTTTATACGACACGTACTCTATAAATGAGTGAAATTAAAACGAAATCGTTAGTCATTTTGCTTTTGATTTTGGTTATAAAATTACGTTAATCCATTCATCTATTTATTTCCTAATGCCATAGTTTATAGGAGAGGTTCACAACCTTTCACAGACCTAGGGCTACCACAAATCCTGCTTCGAGCCACATTCTCATCGAATCAGGAGCCTAAAGGTTATAATAAACGAGGGCACTTATTAAGGCCTAGAGTATTTTATTAAACTTCAAATCACACATAGCAAACAGGCTCACACGGGCCTATTAAGCATTAATTTTCTGTCACAAAACTATTAATCAGAGAGACATTTGACACTGCATTGCTTCATTGATCTGTTACGATTCGCATGCATCACTACAAGTGTTGATTTGTTATTATTCATTAGGCTTTATAGTTGCTCACAGCGACAGTAACTGCCAAATACTAATGACATTAAAGGAACTTGTCATCTGATATAAGATAAAACGTGACACAATGTTTAGAAAATATATACGCGGACCGCAAAAAACACATTGACGGGCCGTGCGTTGAAAATGGCTGTAGAAGAAGCATTTTAATTGAAAAGTAATAAATAAACAAACATCGACACTGCGTAAATATGAGTTTCGGTTTTCGTAAATAGTAGAAGCAAACACAATTCTCACAACTGACTACGAGAAAGAAAGTCGAGTGGGATAGCCTACACTCCAGGCTGTGTGATGCCTGTCTGAACACTTGAAGACGCGAACCAGGATTGTATTATGCAAGAATTATCATATTTTCTCGTTTTTAAGACGCCCCCATTGCAGGACGAACCCTTGATTTTGTAACAGGTTTTCTGAGAATAAAGACGCTATATCGATTTTCAGACACCATTAAATGCAAGAAGCACCCCGATTGCAGAAATTGTAACATACGAAAGAAGTGTCTTTCAAGCCGCGTCCACAACAGAAGTCGTGTACAGGTCTAGGGCGTAAGAAGTTGCAGACAACATTCCAGTCCAACCGAACCTCGTACCGTCGCGAACATTCTAGAATTCTATATTTTCCATCAGTAGTGTCTTGCAGCGGTTAAATACAGACTTCAGGACTATGGATAACAACAAACTACAAATACCTGACGCATTCACATTCATTCTGCGACGAAGGAAAGGAGGAAAAGAAGATGGTGGCAGACCCTCTTGCATTCAAGAGGGGTGGAGTACAGTGGTAATAATTTGCTCGCCGATGGGAAATTCCAAGAAGTCCGCGGACAGTCCAAAATTTTTACTAGGATGACACCGACTGATTTTGATTTTCTCATAAATTTGTTTGGTCCCAAAGTGCTGAAAAATAATACATGCATGAGGAAAGCCGAAAGTGTTCAGGAAAGGTTTGCAGTATAACAATGCGCTTTTCGGCAACCGGCGATTCCTACACTAGTTTACCATATCTTTTCAAAATCTCGAAACAATTTATCAGCTTCACAGTGCCAGAGGTGTGTGAAACACTAATTGAGTCACAAAGGAAAATACACAGGTAAGAATATTTATGTTTTATATAACTAGACAATACAGTAATTTGTTTATTTATAAAAATATCGGCGAATATCAATATTTTTTTACAATTTATTTATCAAAATTCATGTGGACTAATTCCTCGGAAGCAAAGTCTGGTACTGACAGTAGAAGCAGGAAAATTTGGAGAACGTTGTGGTGTAGAAGAAATGAACCCTTGGGAAACGGAGAATGCGACGTTTGTGGGTCTGTATTCATATTTAGGTTCTGGGGGTGCACGGCAGAAGGTGGAAATCGTTGGACATCTACATTTTGCGTTGGGATGTACATTTCATATCGGTAATTTGGCAGGGAAGGAGAAGGGTATAAGCGTCGAGGAAAATACCCATAATTGCATTTTGAATGACGCATCGCGTTAAGTCGTTGCATCTTAACTTTTTTGCAACGAGGTTTCCGAAATCTTGTGATTCGTCATTGTTCGAAGTTGATTCACAGGAAGCCAAAATTTCAAAAGCTTTATCCAGCAACCGATCTCCTGGATGTTTTATTTTTCTTGATGTGGTAGAATTTGGTGGGGGCAGGGAGACGTTACTACAGGGTGTATTGCTCTTCTCCTTGATTTCTTGTTCGTCCATTGTTTCTTCATCCTCAATCGGAATCTGTAATACAATCAAAGCATTAATACCTGAACTAATAAGTCCGTCTATAGCATTAATTATTATATCTATCGGAACAACAGCCATACATATAATTATTTGTTACATTCCAGATACCCACAACAGAAGAATGTTGGCTGAACAATTTGAAAAAAAACGTGGAACTTTCCCCTCTGTTAGGGGCGATGGATGGAAGATATGTCATTCTGCAAGCCGTCTTCAAAAGCGGTAGTGTTTTTTAAAATCACAAATCAACTTTTAGCATTGTTATTTTCGCCATGGACTACGCCAACTATAACTTTCTATTAGTCGACGCCAGGGCAGAATTTCAGACGGCATTTTTTTTGACGTAAAAACGTCTATAAGGAAGGGTCATTCGGCAAAAAAGTGTAACGAAAAAGTGTAACAATGGTTACCTACGAAACGTCATCTGTTTACTTAGCATTGTTGTTACCTAGGAAACGTTACATTACATTACATTCATCTACCACAGAGCCATCTTAAGCGTAACTAATTCAAGTTGATTAAACAATGTTTTAATCAAACTTATCTCAATTGTAAAGCATGTATAAAGGAAATATTTAGAATAAAGCCAATATATAAACTTCCTTTCCGTATAGACGTATTTACGTCAAAGTCTCCGGAACCGTGGTTCCACTGTCAATTTTTTAAATTGTGCCTTAAATAAAAAGTTAGAATGAAATGCCTTGAGCATTCCAAAACCTCAGCGCTTTGAAGGAAGGGAAAAAGAAATTCAGGGACGAAGCATTTACATTTAGTCCAAATATTTCCGGGAATGGATCCCAAAGGTTCCCACAGAAGAGATTTTAATTGAGCTCGCAGAGTTGTCGAAAATGTAATTGAAATTTCTTCATCCGTGTTCAGAGCACTTCGAAAACTACTACTACTACAGCCAGAAGAAGCTGAACTCACTGTGATGGCTGCAGCCTACCTTCACAATTTCTTGCGAAGGAACAAGCTATCATTGAATACTATCTCACCACCAGGAAGTATGGATTATGAAGAAGGGAAATTAATTTCTGGGTCTTGGAGAAACGAAGAATACGAAAATATAACTTAATTACTTCCACTCAGATGTGTTCCGCGAAAATCTTCTACAGCAGCGAACGAAATATAACGAGAATTAGCAGATTTTTTTTATGAAGGAAGGACAAGTTTGTTGGCAAAATAACTACGCGTAAACTGCCGACTTATTTCTTTCTTTCGTTTTTTTATTTTATTTGGTTTACAGTCTTTAATATAGAGTGAAGAGGTTCAAATTATTTTCAAATGCAAAATAGTTCAAATATTTTTTCTAGTTTGATTTGTATGTGATGTTTGCTGATTTCTTTCTTATGGAAGCGACTAAAAAGTAAAGGTAAACATAATTCATACTTATCGTGCTTCTAGTTTCCAGTGGTTTGCCCTTATCCCACAAGAACTGCAAACTTTTAAAAGCAAACCATGTGCTATTATATACTTCGTCAGCACCTGTAATTGCGACGATATTTAAATATATTTGAAATATCTTGATATCATACGTAAGAACATGATTATATTTCTAACTGCGATAACCGTTTTATCTTTAGTTTAAAGGAATTATTTTTATTAGTTTATTTGTAGATGAAAATACAAAGAAAATAAAAAAAATTATAACCAATTTTTTCATAACAATACTAAAATATTTATTTTAACTTACCTTTCCCTGTTCCTATACTTTTTCTAATCATTGCGTGGAATTTTATTAAAATGTTAGGAGTGTTTCGCACTCCACAACAATGTTTTCTGTTCATACAGTTCAAATTAACTGCAAATCACTATCTTCGTTGCTGTCCACCACACTTCACTGAGTTAAAGAATAGCGGACTGAATTGGCAGAACCCGACCTGCGACGAGGTTAGGTTCTGTGCACGTCCAGACATGCGCGTAACCTCACCCTGTAACATCCTTTGATGTGGCGTCGAAATACCGACTAGCAGCGGGAATCTGCGAACCGACAGGCGCAACATCCACGTTACGCTCTGATTTTCGCGTCGAGGTTACAGAGTACCGATCACACCGACGCATTTAAGTTACGCGACGCCGTTACGTTACGAGGTTCTGGTGCAAGTGCGAACGCGGCTTTAAAATCTAGGAAATAAGGTAATTACTGATTACGCATTCATTATATGCCTTTATGAAAAGGACATGAAAAATTATGTTTAAGTTCCTGAATAATCAGTAAACAACGAATATTTTAAAATACAGGGCTGTGGAGTCGGAAGCAATTTTAGGTGGAGTCGTCGGAGTAGGTAAAAATGTACCGACCTCGATATAAAATCATAAGAACAATTTCTATACCGTGTGCGCCACAGGCGGCCTCACGCTTAGGGAGATTCAACGACGCGTTAAGCCACGTGGTGTGGGAATAATGCTTTGTAACTTTGGCTCCGGTACCTGAAGAATAAAAATTGTCTACAAATCAACCGATTTCTGCAATAACAATTAGACATATATTTAAATGTAGGTTATAAGTCTAAAAAGTAGCCTGATGATTCACGTGGTGGTGGTGAAATCTCTTGTGGTACCATTTTAGTAGGTTTACCATCATTAATACATATTGAGCTTTTATGATGGAGTCGGGGTCAGAGTCAGGGTTTTTAGTACCAACTCCACAGCCCTGAGAAATAGGAGGAATTTTAAAACCAATATTCTTTTAAGTTTTATGCAATGTTAGTTTAAAGAAGTGGCAGAACCTGTTTTATCAATTAATTTTTATAAGGCAAAACCAGTTATCCAACAGAATTTGAAAGCATGGTTTGTACCTCTCAAATATAATACACAGTATTTTTCCTTCATGAAACAATGAAAAATGAACCTGCTTTTTGTGCTCACTGAACTTCTTAAAATAAAAACCTCAAAATACAGTATATTCCTACATTTTAATTTTGTTTCAGTTAGTGCAGATAATACTGATAAATCCCAACAATTTTTGAAGTATAGAATTTCTTTGCAAGGCTCTCCAGTATGCAGCAACGAGGTGCCCAGAGTAAAAGTAACACCCGTTTGGGACAAAGGAAAAATCAGTTCACAGATGAAACGAAATAAAAGAAAATTAAATTTAAAAACATTCCGTTCTTTCTGGACTCAGGAATACTTGCAATATACTAACACAGTAAGGATCTCTCTTTTTTATCCACGATATCACCTCCACCAAAACAGGTAGGCATGTCTGACCAGAATCTGGAAGGCATCCATTCAAATCCTGGTAGTGGACAAGTCATGGCTAGGAGGTTTCACGATTTTATGCAGTACTCACAAATGAATGCTTAGATATTATCTTTAAAAAGGCAATTAACAATCTACACTTCTCAGATGGACAGAAATTACTGAACTTGTTTACTTTCTTATAATGTCAGGGCTTTTTACATTTAATTGGACCACCTCTTTTATTTTGTATATTATCAAGAACTCCTTTATGTCCATTCTACAGTGAAGCTTGAAAGTTCCTTGAAGAAAAATGAATGCACTCTGTACCTCGGATGTCACTAGTTCAATGACCATTTTCTCTAAGCATACAAATTCATTATCTTCCTTACAACAAAACCTCGTTATTTCAAGTAATAACACTGAAGAATATATGCACTGCCTAATTTTAAAAAGAGTACAATGGAATGGTAGTAAAATGGGATCACCAATACATATCCTCTGAAAAAGCTCTGTATATTTTACTGTATCAACAACACACTTACAATCTTAAAACTTTGCATACCATGTAGTGTGTTTGAATATAAAATATGCAAACAAACTATTAACACTATAAATGAATAATTTCCCTGTCACCACCGATGATGTGTCAAAACGCGTTTGGCACTAGTGTCATTTATAGTGTTAATAGTTTGTTTGCTTATTTTATATTCAAACACACTTACAAGATATTTCTGATAACAGGTTCACTGACTGGAGAATATTATAACTGTGTTTAGGACATATATTTTTTTTTTCTTTTGGCTTAAGACATGAGCATATAAAGCTCCACCCTTCAAAACAGAACTGTCTATGTTACGTACAGTAGACAACTATCAGAAATATCACAATTAGGGTAAAGAACATTCCACCAATAAGAATAAACTTGTCCTGGTATGCTCGCCTTTCTATCAATCGCATGGTTGTGTTGGACAATCCCAGTGTATTTGCAATGTCATACAGACGTCGGTGTGCACCTTTGATTGTCATTCGCTGATCTCGCAGATTTTCCAAAATCCCTACGCCAGACTGTAGCATTTCATCAACTCCATGGTTTGCATTCTGTAAGGTGAACATACGTACACTCTTGTAATACAATGAGAGAGATATGTCTCAGATTTGCAAAAAAACTTGATCTTATAGTTGATTCAAGCTCACAGTCTCTTCCAAGATTTTTAAACAGAAATATTGTAACGTGATTATCGCTCTGATGATGGAGGCAGAAAGCACCTCAGAAACGTCACATCACAGAAGTCAGCCATCTTCATTTTTAAACGAGTCTATCCTGTCCACTTAGTTCCACATTATTGAATGATGATGTTCAATTTCAACACTTAGAGGGTAAGAAATTTTTGTGACAATTTTTTCCCCAGGTACTTAAATCTAATTTACACAAACTTCAATGCACACAACTCAAACAAAAACCATATGAAACACCCCACCACAAATCTTCTAAATTTTAATCCTTATGTCATACATCCATTCTGAAAAGCATGCACCATTAAACAGCGAACTGGAGAAAATGCATAAAAACCGATGACAATTTTTACATAACTGAGGTACCAGTACAAAAGCAAAGATTATAAAATTATGTGGGAAAAGAAAATGTCTCCCTCTTAGCCATTACTGTTTGAACAGAAAACACTGGCTGATATTAACAACATAAGAGTAAATGCAAACCACTGCACTAATTGCAGTGTTAACTGATTATTCAATTATTAATGAAACTGCTTCAACTGCCTGTATTGTATAGCATCAAATTTTGTGGGAAAATACCCCATAATGGTGCGTGGCTAAGCATATCAGAAGAGGCAGTTGCAGCCTAATTCAAGGGACTGCCCAGTATTGTATGTCGTGTCTCTTTCCTAAATCAATATTAGTTCTATTTATACAGCTACAGAATGTACAGAGTCAGCATATGACAGTAAGGAAGTGTATATGACTCCCATACCCTTTTTACAACCAATGACATCACAAATAGTAAGGCACCACACATTTAATTCAATTCCGTAAAAGATTATAAAATATGTATGCGTACCTCATCATCATCTATGGTGCTTCGGCCCATTTTCGGGCCACAACCTCCCCACTTAGGAGGATTCATGGTCGTTTTTTGAAGCCTGCATTTGTGAGAAGTGAGTGACCAGCCCATCGACTCTGCACAATTTCTACTCAATCCTGATTTGACTGCCAGAGCCATCTAGCAGTAAATCAGGAGATTTCGATGAGAAATGGCCACTGAATTTTGCTTACGAAATGTCTCGTATCATGCTTGTAAGGTTCTTTTGCAATCTACGATATGGCACCGTCAGCTTTACTTCCCCTCTGGAGAAAGTTGTGCTACAGACTTTTATCACCCTTAAAAATCCATCGACCTTGGCCGGAATTGAACCCGTGAACCTTGGGTCCAGTGGCGAACACGCTAACCACCAGTCCACCGAGGGCAACCAAGTATGCATACATTCAAGCATACTTAATTAATATTAAACCTTGCAATATTAACAAGATTGGACAGGTGTACTCTTTGGAGTACAGTGACATTCTAAAGATTTTCTTCACACACAACACATATCATTGTTAGATCATACAGGTTATGTATCCTAGGAATTACCCCTAATCATGCTTTAATTTACAAAATGTTTTTACTTGCACAATTTCAATAACCTTTCCCTTACATATTTAAAATTATCAATATTTATTTTTTCATTTTTTCTTTCAAGCATTTCTCTGTTTCATCATTAATTTTAGCACTATAGTAGCCATCACCAAACTCCATGTTTCAAGACAAGAGGCCTTCATCACCACCACCTGCTACCCCATGCAGCCGCAAATCAGAAACACAGCGTTGTTAGTTTTGCTATACAATGAGTTACAAGCTGTCTTCATGTGCCTGGGCTCCCCTTTGCAATGTTGCATGATTTTTCTGTGACCCTGAGCATGCAATTTATTGATGGCTACTATACCTTTTATGGATTAAGAACCTAACCTTCCAACCCCCCACAAAATAATAAATACATTGTTAGCAGCACATGACTGTGGGTCCAGCAACTTCCAGTCACTTCAGGGTCAAAACAATAAATATTAGTGTATAAAGCTACAAGAATAGAACCAATTGTTCTTTTATAAAAACTGGTATTGTTTTCATGATGTAAAAATTTCAGTGAGTACTTCTTCCTATTGTAGAAATGGTGAACAATGGTGGTAGGTGAAGAGGGGGAGGTCACTGTACAAACAAATATTGTGTCACAAAATATGAAAATTGTTTCTCCATCTGGAACTCTAATATTCTGAAATTTAGAAAGGATTCTTCTCATTACTTTCCTTGCAGAACCACCTTTCACATATGAACACTTCTGTGTATGTGTGTGGGCTCAGAGGCATATCAGCTTCTAAGGACATTTGCACCAATATAATATTTATGGTAAACCAACCGTGCCAAAACACGAGTAAATTTCACCTGCATGCCAAGATACACACATAAGGACAGTTTGTTAAAAAAGTAACGACAAAGACATAAACCACAGACCAGGTTGTATCATGGCACTGGAGTTAAAACTGCAAATTTACAGAAAAATATCAGGTGCATAAAAAATAATACACTATGCCATAAAAAATCTGGCAGCGAGACTCCAGTAAAAAGGGGAAAAAAATTGTGCATCAAAATCGCAAAATTCAACCTTGGCTCACCGGGATTAATGTTAAAATGCATTAAAAATTACTAGAAGAAATTCAGGCTGCATATCAATGTGTCAGTTGAACTATATTTTAAAATACAGCTAACATGGTACAATACATCGTATCCCACCAGGGTGGTACAACAATAAAAACAGCAATAACAATAAATGCAGTTTGTATAAGACCTGACAATGGTAATGAAGACAAAATAGTTACAAAAATAGCTGTAAAGGGGTCAGGCAATGAGGTTGTGCAAAGAAGACACAGTTTGACAAAAAAGGATGATGTAAAGTTGGACAAACAAATACGGAGAATTAAAACTGTAAAATTACATAAAACAGTGCCTATTAAATTGCCTTACCAAGCCCCGTTTCACACACATTACAGTAACATCACGTAAGATGTTTCTCAATATGCCATGAATACAATACATGCAATGTTTTTGACAGCAACTTTGGCACTCCACCAGTACACGCAAAATGGTACAGGCTGTACCACAATGTGTGTAAGTGTCTGCCTGTCTTTGCGCCAGGTGAGCGCATCCAATTTGGAGGTGTGTAAGCATGACTTCCTCCTCGTTCACAGAACTGAATTAAGACTTGCGACCCTGCATCGACAGCTTAACCATTTTCAATTTGTTGCCCGGTGTACTGATCCATTTGTCTCACCACAAGGACAGAAAAAGCGTAACAGAGGAAGGCATAAATGTCATTGTTGAGAGCTCATTTGGATGCAATGGGTCCATACAAAGCCAGTGCTTTAGCAGCCACACTGGTGGCCTGGGAAGGCCAAGTACCCCCCCCCCCGCTTCCCTGGTTTCTCCTTTCACACACAGAAGAAGGCAATGGCAAACCACTTCTGGATCATCTGCCGAGGAAACGAACATGTCGACAAGACCAAAAAAAAAAACCCAACAACAACAACAAAAACAGCAACAACAACACAAGACAGAACACCATACAAAGGACCCAGATTACTATGGGGTGGTCAGGAGAATAACCACTGAGACACTGCAACACACTTAGGGAGTCTGTGCAGCATAAGATTTCTGCCATTGATTACAAATGATCAGGAGAGTTCGGTTCAAGGAAAAGAGTATTGTAATTAGACACTATTAAAAGTATGGAGGCAAGAGGAAAATACTAGGCCACCACAGATAAAAACACTACCTGTTAATCTTCAACAAATAAATGGTAAATATACATCACACATCACATTCCGATGCAGAAAATAGTATGATGGAATAAATGAGTGCTTACTGTACGTGTCAAGTACGACAGATGGGAGCTGAAGTAACATGGGCTTGTAAAGATATACCTGAGCCAACCAATAACATATATATTTGGTTCACGATCACACTCTAGAAAATCAACTGCACACAATAGGAAAGGAACTCATTAATGAACAAGATATGCCTCTGGAGTAACATGAACAAATGCACAACTGTGCAGCAATGTACTAACTCTTAACATTTATAGATCTGATTATGCTTTTAACTGAAGTACACGGACTACCCGTACTATACGTAAGACAAACTAGATACACGTTAATAAGAAAAGGTCTCGGACACAACTTGTAGATATTAATATGGCCAACTTCTTTTCATATGACATATCATTTCAAGATACCTCCATCATCAAGGCAATTACTGCCCTGATGATGCAGGCAGTAACAACCTCTGAAACTACACAGAGCTACATCCCAGAAGACAGCCTCCTTAATAATCAGGTAGTCAAAACTACATTGTGCAAATACATATTTGGCGAGGACGGACAGTAAACAGGTACTATTCATATAAATTGGAGCTGGCATAGCTCAGTCAGGAATGTGACTGGCTATGGACTGGAAAATCAGGGTTCAATCTCCGACATGGGCAGAGGATTTTTCCTCTAGCCTCTGTGCCCAGACCAGTTCTGCGGCCTACCCAGCCTCCTATCCAAGGGATACCAGGGTCCTTTCTTGGGAGTAATGCTAACCACTCACCCCTATCTAGTGCAGAGGTCAAGAATGAGTAGGAGCTATACCTCCACTCCCCCCAAGTGCCTACATAGTGCATAGTGGGGCAGCTTTATTTTACTTTACATGTCTGACCAGCTGTGTCAAGACATAAAAAGGCTGGCCAACTGTTAAGGAAACACCAGTATACAAATATTATTAATGATCTTCATCCTCATACTTAATATGAATTACTTTGTTAAACCTGCTTGTACTGGTGTTAGCCACTGTTGATGTGTGTCACTAAATGTAATACTACGAACAAGTCGTGAAAGGATTGCAACTGTTTCCTACCAGACTCCTACAGAATCTTTCTTCCTTTCTGACACTCCTCTTTGCTTGTCCCTCATTTGGCCATCAAGATAATCTGCCTGTGTAGTATAAATTTTGTTTTTTTGGAGATGTATATGATGGATATGTAATGTGATGTTTCTCTCAATGTAACAAAGTTAGGGGATATCTCAAGGATGAATGCATATTTAAGTACTAAAAATTTTGAAGCAATTTTTTCATCAGTAGTATGAGTCAAAGCCTAGATAACTGACAATTACGATTTATAACTTGTGTTGGGCAAGGCCGTGGTCCAGGTATCAGTTTTTTCTTCTGGGGCTTCGCCGGTTTCTCTGTGGCATCCCAACAATTACTCCATTCTCATCATCATTTACACACAGAAGAAGACAATGGCAAACCACTTCTGGATCACTTGCTGAGGAAACATATGAACAGGTCCCTATTAGAGGGAACTTGTTCATAATGTCACCAGGGGTCGGCTCTGACCCGAAGGTACCAAAGGAAAAAAAATAATAATAAAAATAAATAAATTGTTTCCCTA